GTCTGTCTCCTTCATGACAATGTGCGTCTGCACACAGCTCATGCAACACAAGAGTTATTGACTTCATTTGGTTGGGATGTTTTAAGTCTCACAGCCCCATTCTTACACCCAGTGACTATAATCTGTTCACTAGACTGAAGGAAAACCTGGGTGGAAAACACTTTTCTGACAATGATGAGCTGAAAATCAAAATGACAAACTGGTTGAAAAAGGTGGAGGGAGACTTCTATGACCCTGGCATCAAAAACTCGTTCCACAGATGACAAAATGTATTGAACTGAATGGTGATGATGTGGAAAAATAATGTAATACCTATGCTACAATCCATGTCAGTTTTATTAAAATACTAGCTGTACCCGTCACGCGTTGCTGTGGCCAACCTTCCCTCCTTTTTTTCCTTTCTGTCTTTCTTTCTTTCTGTCTGTCTGTCTTTCTTTCTTTCTCTCCTTCCTTCCTTCTTCCCTTCCTTCCCTTTTTTTCTTTCCTTCTCCCCTTCCTTCTCTTCCTCTTCCTTTCCTTCTCCACTTTTCCTTTCCTTTCCCGTTTCTCCCCTTTCTTCCTTCTCTACCTATTCTTGGACTGATCAATCTATCTACCTACCTATCTATCTCTATCGAATCTATCTATCTGGAGGATTGCTGGGAGTTGCAGTCCAGAAATAGGAAATTGGAAATATGCCGGGATTGGGCTGCTCTCAAAGAAATCCAAGGAAAAGAACGCTTGCATTTTGGAAGCAGTGCATTTGGATCATTGTCCTCTCCTAAAGGGCCTGTTCTAGGGGATTTGGAGAGCTGTAGTCTGGAAGAGAGTGTGTATATTTGTATATATGTGTCTTTCGGTATTTATGTTTAGTTTTGTGCATGTGTTGTAATGTATTTTTTTGTTTTTTGGCTTTTTAAGTTTCTTCTGCTATGTTTTCCAGTGTTTTTATGAATGGTGGTCACTTGTTGGCCTGTTACCTGTATTGTGTCCAAATTTGGTGTCAATTCGTCCAGTGGTTTTTGAGTTATGTTAATCCCACAAACGAACATTGCATTTTTATTTATATAGACTCATTCTTTGCATTTAAAAAAATCTTGTAACCTTACTTTCTGGATAACCTTCATATTAAGTATCTACCACAGTTGCTCATATGTTATTCAAGTACACACTAGCCCAGACGGAGCAGAAATATATTTCGCTAAATCATCAGTTGAAACTATTGGTATTTAAGTACAATAAAGGCTACTAGCAATTCTTGCAGCTTATGTAATAGTGGTATTTAAAGGGAGAGTTATAGTAATAATCCATTGTTAAATGTGCCCTATTTTCTTGTTTTCAAAATATGAGAACCCTCACTAAAACAATTTTTTTGCTGCGGTTTGGAGGAGGATACACCATGGACAATGGGACTTGCAATACCTGCACTCCCTTCCTGAGACCATTACAACTGCCAACAATGATGGATCAGGACCACAATTCACAGAGAGCCCGCATGACCCACTCTACATCCTGGTTTGGAAGAATTTGGAGATGGGTGATGGGACTTGCAGTAACTTCACTCACTTCCTGAGACCACTGAGACCCTCGCCAATGACTGATCAAGACCAAACTTGGCACACAGACATCCTGGTGCACTTTCGAGGAGGACAGACCATGGATGATGGGACTTCAAGTAACTCGACTCACTTCCCAAGACTGCTGCAACCCTCACCTAATGACCTATCAAGACCAAACTTGACACGCAGAGCCCCCATGACCCACTCTACATCCTGGTGCACTTTCGAGGAGGACAGACCATGGATGATGGGACTTCAAGTACCTCCACTCCCTTCCCAAGACTGCTGCAACCCTCATCTAATGACCAATCAAGACCAAACTTGGCACACAGAGCCCCCATGAGCCACGCTACATCCTGGTGCTGTTTGGAGGAGGATGGACGATGGATGATGGGACTTGCAGTACTTTCACTCACTTCCTGAAACCACAGCGACACTCATCCAAATACCAAGAAAGAACAAACTTGGCGCAGGAGCAACTTGAGAGACTGCAAGTTCTAAAACAATTGCAAAGTCTAAACTAAAATATAATAAGCTAAAGTTCACATATTTATAAGAGGTGCAGGAAATTCTTCAGAAGGATTTTAAAAAAAAAAGGAATCTCAAATCCTTGTGACAAACGTTCCAAGGAATGAAAGAAAATTAAGGAAAGTATCAGAGAAACCAATCTGGAGCTTGGATCTGCAACTCTTTCTTGGATTGCCAATTACAATGGGAAAACTTACCTACCTATCTGTGGTACAGAGATATAAACCGTTGCTGGAGCAAAATCATTGGGTTTGTACCAGCGATTCAGAAATTCAGCTCCAATCCACAGTGCTCCTGTCCCACCAACTGTTTGAACAGCACCTGCCTATTGAGAAAAAAATGGGGGCGGGGGGGGGGGGAGTCAGGCTTTCATCTACTATCTATCTACCATGTATCTAATCTCAGGCATTCACATTTGCCAATTAAAATTTCCAATAATAATGAAGAACAACGGAATAATTCCCCAGAAGAGAGAGAGAAATCATTCAGAGGTGAAGCATGGACAGAATCCTGGTTGCATTCATTTGTCACTGTCAGTCTTTTAAAAAAAGGGCAAAAAATTAAGAGGTGCTCGGCTGCAGGTACCAGTAGGTGCACTTACTTTCAGGCATGCTCCAGACCTGCCTGCACACCACACCACACCCAGCTGCAGGTGTGCTCCGGGTCTGCCTGCATGCCCCATGACACAGGCACTGTTAGAGAGTGTGTGTGTGATGTTGAAATGGCAGGGAGAAGATTTCATGAAAAGAGACAGAGAGGTCCAGAGGTCTCAAAAGCACGGATTTTATTTCCAGCTGGGACCCTGGAGTGGACTATGTCCAAAAGCAGCCAGAACCCCGATAGAGGCGTTGACTGTGCCTTTATACCTCTACAACTTCAGGCAAACAAAGAACATGCCTCTACATACATTTACATAATTCACTACGTTACCTTAGCATCACAGAAATATCAAGTTCTATTTTCCAACATGCAAAAGGCATGTCTCTGTGTATTTCTAGGAGCAGCTTACATCCATCAGGGGCCTGCTTTTGACCTGTCAGGAGGGAGACGGGGGCTCCTTACTTAGAGCCTGGTTGTACCAGTCTGTTGCTTATCTCTCTCTCTTGGAATGTATAGATAACATGCCCCTCTCTTCAGCCCCCTTCTTTCTGTGGCTGGACAGCAGCTTGCTTGTCCTGTTAGCTTGAGTTTCTTATACAGAGAGAACTTGATTTTTCTATACATTTCAGTGCTTGTAAAGTACATACAATTTATACATAAATCAATATCTATATTTCCAATATCTCCTTGTCAGTGTCGTGTGCAGGCAGGTCTGGAGCGTGCCTGCAGCCCAGCTCCAGGCTTGCCTGCATGCCCTGCTGCACACGCACTCTCTTTCCAAGGTGTTGGAGCTAAGCCTGTGATTGTGTTTCAGAATCAGGGTGCTTTGGATGTGGGGAGTGATGTCAATGAGTTATAAGATGAGTTTCAAGATGGCAATGGTTTGGTCAGTGATCTTGATGCAGAGAATGACCAGGAGATCCCTGTTCAAAGTGTAGTCTCCCATAAGAAGGTCCCTGAAGGGTGTGGGGATGATAGTGTGCTTTCTGAATTGTTGCCAGAGAGTTCCCATGATAGGGAACATGAAAACAGCTCGGCACCTGGCCCAGCTGCAGAAATTAATGAGCAAATAAATAGACAGGAGATCAGTTAAAACAGGAGAGCCAAAAAGTGCTTCGGCGTTCTGCCAGCCTCCGAGAGAAGAAGATAAGAAATTCTCAGCTAAAGCGAAACCAGTTTCTGAATGCTAGAGACATAGTTAACGAAGAGATAAAAGTCCCAATACAGAGAGTAGTCGGAGAGAAGAAGGAGCAGTGCCTGGAGGAGAGGTACATAGGAGGCGGGAAGCGAACCTAGTGTAGAAGCGGAGGGAGCCTTGTTTGCAAACGGCATAGTCTGCAGAGGCTGCTGCTGCTTAGCCTCTCTGGTGTCTGGTGTAGTCAGGTGAAGCATTGTTTGGAATCAAGTCAAGATCTCATCTTTGTTTCATGGAAGCTTTGCTTTGGAAAATTCATGTTTTAAGTGCCTTTGTTTCATGGTTTTCATTCTTGGATTCTATGCTTTTATATTCATACCTTGGACTCATGTTTCCTGATTTCTTGCATTATATTTGGGAAGTTATTTTTATGTACTTTGCTAGACTTTTATCCTGGATTACTTTGCTCCTGCTTATCTTCCTACCTAATTGGATTTACCTATTTCTTTAAAGTGTTTTTTTTACTTTATTGCTTTTTTATTATCTTCAATAAAAGGATTGTTTTCCTTCCAACGGTGTGGTGTTTAAAGTCACAGGGCTTTTCCTGTCCTGGAGTGCAACACAAGGCAAGGAGGCAAGTTTGGCTGCAAACGAAAGCAGGTTTTCGTGTTGAGCAGATTTTTGTGCGGAAAGTGGGCATGAAAGACACAAAAGAAACTGTAGGCATGGTTGAAATTGATTCCATATGATGGCGGGGAGCCCCCGCCAACGATTGGCCTGCACTGCAGCGGAGAGTTCCGCAGTTCCTGGTTGTCTCAATTGGAAGAAACTGATGAAATGTGCCCCAGCAGACAGCTCAATTATGAGACTGCACTCAGCCTTTCATTGCTTTCCCCTCCCCCTACTTTGTAACAAAGCCCTAATAAAGGTACTTGAGATTTGCAACTTTAAAACTTTCCCGCTTGATACTTTGTGTCCTTTCCTTGCCTGAACCTTCTCTAAGCATGAAACAAACCTTTTTCCAGGCTCCGGAGAGCCGTGAACCTGCTGGGGGGCGCCTACTGGCACCCCCAGGACCCCGGATCTGTGTTCATCAAAACCGCGGATACCGAAACCGCCATTTTGGACCCCCGTAACCACTAAAACAGTAAAACGGCGGATCGACGCCGTTCTAATTTTGTATTTTTCTGCTATTAATTCTAAGACTATCTGCCATCTCGCTTTCCTCATTTTGGACTCCTGCGCCCGGGGAATAATCATTTTGTTTAAAGTATTATTATTTGACAGCGAACAGCTGATTGTCAAAACTCGGCCGGCTCGGCGAAAGCAGCCTGTTTTCCCTTGCTGCCGCTGGTTCCTGCTCGGCCCAGTCATCAGGGGCTTGCTGTGGGCACCCAAAGGAGGCCCTGGAGAAGCGGCCAGACGGGAATCCCGGTCCCTGGAGGGAGACATAGTTCTCTAAAGGACGGGCAATGGACTCTGTTGCTATTCAACCCAGCACTCATCATTGGACTTCGGCCTTCTCTTTTTGACTCTCTGCCTCATAAACTGAACTGTTTGCCATATCCCTGGACACGAACTTTCTGGCGATGCTTGCCCTGAGATGCAAGCAGCCTCCGTTTCCGTGCGCCTTCACCAAAGAGCCATGAAATCTCCCGTTTGCCTTATAATAAAGATCAAATATTATAATGAATTTTTCCTGGGATGGGGATGGGGTTTGCCTTATGAAATATATGTAAAGAAATGTTGTATGAAATGTATTGTGTTCCCTTCCTGCCTTTCCTACTGACCCTTGCCCTACAAAGATGCGACCATAAGTTGTTGTGATGCCTGGGGGAAGAATCCTCTGCTTCCCCCGAAACCGTTCCTGATTGACTCATCTGCATGAAACAATAACTGTTGATTCCCTCGTCCCGCCTTCTGAGCTTGTCTAGCGGGAAGAGGAGGTCAACAGAAACTTGGAAAAAAGAATTGATTAAATTCACAAAGGCAGCGTTGATCCCTTTTGAGGTCCACTGTCTGACCCAATATTGTCTTTCCCCCCCCCCCAAAGCCATTTTCAACAGGAAGACTTTTGTTTACAAAGATCACACCTTGCTGGCCTGAGACAAAGGCTTGCTGACAACTCCTAATCCCATCATTTCCCCCCTCCATTGTTCACGGCCGTACCGCCTCCTCTCTCCTGATTTGTCCATCTTGCGAGGCGAGCGGAGGGTGCTCATTGGCCCTCTAGAGGCGAAGAAACGCGCTGATTGGTCCAGAGCAGGGGCGGGCCGCCCAGCCTCCTCCCAGCTGTTCCAGCCTCAGCCAATCAGCGTGAAGCCGGCCGGCAAGGGGCAGGCGGGAATTTTGAAAGTTTTCCTTTGTATTTTTACTATAAATATGTCTGTATTCTTTGTACTGGCATGCTTGTGGTGGAATGATCCCTGCAATGCATCCGATCAGCTGAATCGCTAATAAAACACTTCGGTTGCTGGAAACTTCTTCCACCTTGATGGGGCATTATTATTTTTAATATTTTATCGTGGATTGGCAATTTTCCTGGCCTCACCAAGGTATCCAGGACCCTTTTGGCGCGGTCCTCGGGTCCCTCTCTGTTGAGGGGACCCTGCTAAAAGCAGCTCGATATCACATACACAATTCTACTTGGTATGCTGAAGCTATGCTGAACATATCCTCCAACTGTCCTGAGTTTTCCACCTTGAAATCAGTTTGCAGTAACCGAACTAAGCAGATGACAAAGTGAGGAAGTGGAAGGAGAAGGAAGAAAAAACAGGCATTTAAAAAGCAGCAGAAAAAAGCGGGACAGCAGGGCATTGATCGAGACAGTTGGATGGTATGTGTGGGGCATATAGAGAACTTACACTTGATCTATTCATTTAATATGGTAGAATAATGGAATAATAGAGTTGGAAGATACCACACGGGCAATCAAGCCCACTGTTCAGCCTTTCAGGAAAAGCACATCAAAGCACCCCCAACAGATGGCCATCCAGCCTCTGCTTAAAAGCCTCCAAGGAAGGACTCTGAGGCACCATAAGGGAGTTCTTTGTAATGTTCAGTTGGGATCTCCTTTCCTGTAATTTTACATTATAATTGCATTATATCTTCACAGCAGCCCTGAGAAGTTGGTGCAGCTGAGAGTAACTGGCCCACAATTACTCAGTGAATTTGATGAATCTGCAGAGACTACAACCTGGTTATCCTAATGTCCAAATCTAACATTTTAACTGAATATCTCATTGACTTTCTGTAAGATGGCATTAGAAAGATTGCCCTTACCCTGTTTTCCAAGAGAGCATGATTGTCTTTGCCGATCAGTAGCTCCATGGCTGCCGTAGTAAATGCCGTCATGCCCAGGTGAGGGAGGTATTCATGGTCCAAGGTTGGATCCTGAGGGATTTTAAGCAGAACTCGTTGCACCACCAGTGGAATCCAGGTTTCATCCGGGCAATCTGTCTGGCAGCCTAGGAAGTGGACCAGAGGTGGCTTGAGAAGGTGTCAAGAACCCAAAACACTCTAGTCTAGAGCTGTGCCGTCCGCCCAGGCGCTATAAAAAATAAGACTGCGACATGCTTCTCTCTATAGCTGAGCGAACTGCAGTTGTCTATCTTGAAAACTTAAGATAATAAGCAACTGAGACTAGTACTGGTTTTAAACATTAAACAAGAATATTTATTTACACAAAGTCCTTTAAGACTTGGCACAGTTCATATAGTTGCAAACAAACAGTCAATAGATGAAACTACAAAAAAAAATCTTTCTTTCCTATAGTTACAGAGGCAACCCTTTCTCCAGATGGCTGATAAGATCCTGGAATCTTAACACCCTAACTTTACGCTGTTGTGGTTTAGAAAAAAAACCCCAGGTTTTTTCCCTATCTATAACTTAAGGTCAATCCTGGAGACAAAGTAGTCACGACTCTCTCTCTATAACTATAACTCAATCTTCCCAACTAAGCTTATCTGTCTAAAATATTTCAATACAGCTGAATACACAATATACTATCTAACCTAACTCAGTATAGTTTAATAATGTATAATGTATAATATACTATCTATAGCTTACTCAGTTTATAGTTTTTGCAATGGTTCTACCAGAACTAACTGCTTAGCCATCAGCATGTCTGAAATCTTTCCTCAAACTGAAAAGGCAGGGGAGAATCTAAAATGGAGATCTTTCCCTGGGAGAAAAGGTGGTCCTTAAACTCAAAGAACTGCTCTCTAAGCCAATGGTTGCAAAGAAGCCTGCAGACTCTGATACTATTAACTTTAGAACTCTTGCAAGGCTGCAGCCGCCCTGGGAGAAAATGCAAGAGGAAGCAACCTCAAGCAACTATAAAGTAAGGCAAATCAGGCTCCTGGGAGACGGCACAAGAGCCTTGTCATTCTTTCCTTAGTTTCCCCAGGCTTCAGGATCTCACTTTCCATCCTCTCATGTTGAGCATGCTGCTGCCTTGTTACATGGAATACCCCAATTTTGGGTGCATCTGCACATGCAGTTCAAGCTCAGTTTAACTGCCATGGCTCAATGCTGTAGAATCATGGGAGTTGTAGTTTTATATGTTGGAGGACAGAAAAGGAGATGTAAAGATGGGCTCAACGCCAACCTTAAAAACTCTGGCATAGACATGGAGAACTGGGAAGCCCTGGTCCTTGAGTGCTCCAGCTGGAGGTCAGCTGTTACCAGCAGTGCTGTAAAATTTGAAGAAGCATGAATGGAGGGCGAAAGAGAGAAATGTGCCAAGAGGAAGGCGCGTTAAGCCAACCCTGACAGGGAGCCTTCCACCTGGAAACCGATGCCCTCACTGTGGGAGAACATGCAGGTCAAGAATAGGGCTCAACACTCACCTATGTACCCGCCGCCAGTACACCGAACTTGGAAGACAATCAGGGGTGACTAATGCAATAGGCAAGATATGCATATGTGTATAGCCCGAATCCCCAAGGGGTGCTCTTGAGGCATTCCCAATTTTCCTAGGGCTGCATTCTCCAAAACAAAACTGAACGACACACTCAACAAGCATGGCATTGAGTTCTCTGTTAAAATTGTTGCTAAATTTAATAAAATATTTGCATTGTTAAAAAAAAGTTAATTTGTGTTAATTCCACGTAATGTAACTATATGAACATAATGTTCATACTTCTGGTTTGTAAGGTAACTCTTTTATTCACCTCTACCTTATACTTTTTATTTTTCAGTGATTGGTGTTTGGTGGGTGGGTGGGGGGGGTAAAATACTGTTTGCTTACCCTTGAAAATTACCTAGGGCCTGCCCTTAAGACAATCTTACTTGGTCAATGAGGGATCACCTAACTAAGTAAAGTTTTATATGGTATTTAGTCTACTCTGCCAAAGAGTGCAGGTGCTCTGTATTAATTCTACAGTGTAGATCAGGGGTTTTGAAACATTTTCAGTCATGGCGCCCATTTTGAAACAAAAGTTTCTTGTGGAGCCCAAAGAAATGTTATTATATTATATACTAGCCATCCCCTGCCATGCGTTGCTGTGGCCCACGTGGGGCTTCTGTGTGTGAGGTTTGGCCCAATTCTGTCGTTGGTGGGGTTCAGCATGCTCTGTGATTGTAGGTGAACTAGAAATCCCAGCAACTACAACTCCCAAATGCCAAGATTCTATTTCCCCCAAACTCCACCAGTGTTCACATTTGGGCATATTGAGTATTCGTGTAGAGTTTGGTCCAGATCCATCATTGTTTGAGTCCACAGTCATCTTTGGATGTAGGTGAACTACAACTCCCAAACCAAAGGACACTGCCCACCAAACTCTTCCAGTATTTTCTGTTGGTCATGGGAGAACTGTGTGCCAAGTTTGGTTCAATTCCATCGTTGGTGGGGTTCAGAATGCTCTGTGATTGTAGGTGAACTATAAATCCCAGCAACTACAACTCCCAAATGACAAAATCAATTTTTTTGAGTGAAGGACATACATTGGGTTGTTAGGTGCCTTGTGTCCAAATTTGGTGTCAATTCCTCCAGTGGTTTTTGAGTTCTGTTAATCCCACAAACGAACATTATATTTTTATTTATATAGATTATATTATATATCTTTATGGAGCCCCCGGTGGCGCAGTGGGTTAAAGCACTGAGCTGCTGAGTTGGTGATCGAAAAGTCGCAGGTTCGATTTCGGGGAGCGGTGTGAGCTTCCGCTGTCAGCCCTAGCTTCTGCCAACCTAGCAGTTCGAAAACATGCAAATGTGAGTAGATCAATAGGTACCGCTCCGGCGGGAAGGTAAGGGCGCTCCATGCCGTCATGCCGGCCACATGACCTTGGAGGTGTCTACGGACAATGCTGGCTCTTCGGCTTAGAAATGGAGATGAGCACCACACCCGAGTCAGACATGACTGGATTTAATGTCAGGGGACTACCTTTACCTTTTATATATCTTTATATATTATATTAATAAATGTGTATCTATAATATCTATCTATTATTATTATTAAATGCTTATATATTATTATAATTGAGAGAAGAGCTCCTCAGTTTCTTTCGCAGAGCCCTAAGGGCTCCACGGAGCACAGTTTGTGAACCACTGGTGTAGATGAATCCTTAGTCTGTTTGTTTCCTGAGGATGGTAAGGTATAGGTATAGGTTTCCCCGGACATTAAGTCTAATCATGTCTGACTCTGAGTTGGACATGATTAGATTTAAGAGCTGGTGTCGTCCATAGACACCTCCGAGGTCATGTGGCCAGCATGACTGCATGGAGTACCGTTACCTTCCCACTGAAGCGGTACCTATTGATCTACTCACATTTGCATGTTTGCAAACTGCTAGGTTGGCAGAAACTGGGATTACAATGGGAGCACACCTTGCTCTGTGGTTTCGAACCGCCGACCTTTCGGTCACCAAGTTTCGCAGTTCCCTTTGTGGCACCGCAGCCCAAAAAAGCAATGGAAAAATCCCAATTTTTCAAAACAGATAGTTATAAAGATAGTTACAGATAAGCGTATGATCCCCAAGTATTTGCAATCTAATTTTGGAAACAGGACTAGCCCTACCTTTGGGCAAAGTGAGGGTGCATCTACACCAGTGTTTCTCAACCTGGGGGTCGGGCCCCCTGAGGGGGTCAGGAGGGGGTATCAAAGGGGTTGCCAAAGACCATCAGAAAACATAGTATTTTCTGGTGGTCATTGGGATTCTGTGTGGGAAGTTTGACCCAATTCTATTGTTGGTCGAGTTCAGAATGCTCTTTGATTGTAGGTGAACTATAAATCCCAGCAACTACAATTCCCAAATGTCAAGGTCTATTTTCCCCAGACTCTACCAGTGTTCACATTTGGGCATACTGAGTGTTCGTGCCAAGTTTGGTCCAGATCCATCATTGCATGAATCCACAGCGCTCCTCTGGATATAGGTGAACTACAACTCCCAAACTCAAGGTCAATGCCCACAAAACCCTTCCAGTGTTTTCTGTTGGTCATGGGAGTTCTTTGTGCCAAGTTCGGTTTAAATCCATTGCTGGTGGAGTTCAGAATGCTTTTTGATTATAGGTGAACTATAAATCCCAGCAACTACAACTCCCAAATTACAAAATCAATCCTCCCCCCCCCCCCCAACCCCACTAGCATTCACATTTGGGCATATTGGGTATTTGTGCTCAATTTAGTCCAGTGAATGAAAATATATCCTGCATATCGGATATTTACATTACGATTTATAGGTAAAGGTAAAGGTTTTCCCCTGACATTAAGTCCAGTCATGTCTGACTCTGGGGGGTGGTGCTCATCTCCATTTCTAAGCTGAAGAGCCGGCGTTGTCCATAGACACCTCCAAGGTCATGTGGCCGGCATGACTGCATGGAGTGCTGTGACCTTCCTGCCGGAGTGGTACCTATTGATCTATTAACATTCTGTACCAGTGCTAAAATGACAGGTATCAAGTAGCAACAAAAACAATATTATGGTTGGGGGTCACCACAACATATGAAACTGCATTAAGGGGTCACGGCATTAGCAAGGTTGAGAACCACTGATCTACACCATAAATGAGGTACCTATTGATTGGACAGGGTTACACTCCCCCTGAAGTCACAGGTCCGTAGCTTGGGAGTCCTCCTGGATTCATCGCTCACGCTTGAGGTTCAGGCGTCGGCGATGGCCGGGAGGGCTTTTGCACAACTGAGACTTGTGCGCCAGCTACGACCGTACCTCGCTAAAGCTGATCTGGCCGGGGTGGTCCATGCCTTAGTCACCTCCAGACTGGATTACTGCAATGCGCTCTACGTGGGGCTGCCCTTGAAAACGGCTCGGAAACTCCAATTGGTCCAACGGGCAGCAGCCAGGATGTTAACTGGGGCCCACTACAGAGAGAGGTCAACCCTCCTGTTTAAGGAGCTCCACTGGCTGCCGTTTATTTTCCGAGCCCAATTTAAGGTGCAGGTGCTTACCTACAAAGCCCTGAACGGTTTGGGACCACCCTACCTGTGTGACCGTCATCGTTGTCTACGAACCCACACGTTCACTCCGGTCATCTGGAGAGACCCTGCTCGTGATCCCACCCGCGTCACAAGCGCGCTTGGTGGGGACACGAGACAGGGCCTTCTCTGTGGTGGCCCCCCGCCTCTGGAATGCCCTCCCGAAAGACCTCAGACAAGCCCCTACATTGGCAGTCTTCAGAAAGAATTTGAAAACCTGGCTGTTCCAATGTGCCTTTTCAGACTAGGAACCCCAGTACCAAATCCCAGAAGCACTTTAGTTAGAACCAAGATCACCGCACACCGCACTTATATTATAATCCCATATCCCTCCGACACATCAGCACTTTTAATCCTGTACCCCTACTCTGGCCGGCTCAGTTTTAATAATGTCTTGTTGTACTGCTATTGTTATTGTTTTTGCTTAACTGTTTTATTTGCTAGGTACTGTATTGTTGTATTGTGTGGGCTTCGGCCTGTTGTAAGCCGCATCGAATCCCTTGGGAGATGCTAGCATTTTTTAAAAAAATGTTAAAACACAATTAAACAAAGAATTAAAAAGCAATTTAAGCACTGTATTGTCGAAGGCTTTCATGGCTGGAATCACTAGGTTCTTGTGGGTTTTTTCGGGCTATAGAGCCATGTTCTAGAGGCATTTCTCCTGACATTTCGCCTGCATCTATGGCAAGCATCCTCAGAGGTTGTGAGGTTTTCCACCCAGAGGAAAAGTGTTCCTGCCATACATCAAGGGAACCACTGATCGCATAGGGAAGCTGATGAGGAAACCCAACATACAAACTATCTACAGACCCACCAAGAAAATCCAACAAATGCTACGTTCAGCAAAGGACAAGAGGGATCCTCTCACCTCTGCAGGAGTCTACCGTATACCATGCAGCTGTGGACAAGTCTACATAGTGACCACCAAACGCAGCACCCAAACACGAATCAAGGAACATGAAAAGCACTGCAGACTACTCCAACCAGAGAAATCAGCCATAGCAGAGCACCTGATGAACCAACCTGGACACAGCATATTATTTGAGAACACAGAAATGCTGGACCACTCTCACAACCACCATGTCAACTACACAGAGAAGCCATTGAAATCCACAAGCATGTGGACAATTTCAACAGAAAGGAGGAAACCATGAAAATGAACAAAATCTGGCTACCAGTATTAAAAAACTCTAAAATTATAACAGCTAAACAACAGAGAAGAAAAAACCAGGCACAGATTAACACCTCCCAGCAACAGATTTTCCCAGGCTCTGGCAGGCCAATCTTACAGTATTTTAAATAATAATAATAATAATATGGTTCAGTTCTTCTTGGAGGAGATGGGGTTAACAGATTCTTTTTGCATGGTCTGCCAAGGCTCCAGCAGACAAGAGTCCTTTGTCCCACCCTAGTCATTCCACAGATATATAAACCCTTTTTCCTACTTCCAACAGACCTCACTACCTCTGAGGATGCTTGCCATAGATGCAGGCGAAACGTCAGGAGAGAATGCCTCTAGAACATGGCCATATAGCCCGAAAAAACCCACAAGAACCCACAAGAACCATAATATTTGCAAATTGGCAGCAGCTGGGATTACGATGGGAGCACACCTTGCTCTGTGGATTTGAACCGCCGACCTTTTGGTCAGCAAGTTCAGCAGCACCACCAGTGGGCCCAATCTGGGGAAGGTCCTTGTCTTTTATATTCTGTGACAGCACACACTGTTGGCACTAAATTGTTTAAGTTATTTTCAGTCTATGAGCATACAAGCTTCCATATTCCCAACTAGTACCAGCTCATAGGGAACCAGATTTACCTGTATGGCCAAGGCACACTTTTTTAGGTGAAGGATCTTCTCTGTAGACATCTAAAGGGAGGTCTGTTTCCGTTAATGGAACGTCAAGGAAAACGGAAAGAGTCCCCATGGCTGAAGATGACTAAGGAAATGTTTGCAAGCAACTTCTGCTCCAAAGGGGATGATCTAATCCTCATGTAGAACACCCCAAGAACCAACCTCCAGGATTCTTAAAACAACAATCTCCTGGGTTACTATATGTATTTGTATTCCAACATTCTACTGATGGAAAGGAGGTCATCAGATGGACATTTGTGACCATTATTGTCCATTGTGAGGTGTATTTTCTCCTCCTCCAATCACATACTGAGACATAACAGTTTCTTTTCATTGGGAATAGATCATTTTTTTTTCTCTTCCCGCAAGTAATGAAGAAGATTATCAGAAGATACATAAAGTAGTTTTTCTTGTAGGTCCTAATTGCTAGAAGTGACTGACCCAGAATGTGGTTGTGACTATTGGCTTACAAAGCAGTTTAGGCACATTAATGGGAAAATTAGGAGTATGGCTTGAGAAATATTAGGATTGTTAAGGAACTGCATTCTCTCGTAGTATTTGTGGCATTTAATCGAAGCTTCCAAGGAGTTTGCAGCACTTTCTTTTTGTGGGTTCAGAATCATAGAATCAAAGAGTTGGAAGAGACCTCATGGGCCATCCAGTCCAACCCCATTCTGCCAAGAAGCAGGAATATTGCATTCAAATCACCCCTGACAGATGGCCATCCAGCCCCTGTTTAAAAGCTTCCAAAGAAGGAGCCTCCACCACACTCCGGGGCAGAGAGTTCCACTGCTGAACGGCTCTCACAGTCAGGAAGTCAGTGGGCTTTAAGATCTACTGGGGAGGCCTTCTTCTTGGTCCCACCTCCGTCTCAAGCATGGTTGGTGGGGACGAGAGAGAGGGCTTTTTTGGTGGTGGCCCCCAGCTCTGGAATGCCCTTCCTAGAGAAATTAAGTTAGTCCCTACTCTCCAATGTTTGCAGACAAACCCTATAAACATGGCTCTTTAGACAGGCATTTGAACACGACTAGAACTCATAGAATCATAGAATCAAAGAGTTGGAAGAGACCTCATGGGCCATCCAGTCCAACCCCCTACCAAGAAGCAGGAATATTGCATTCAAATCACCCCTGACAGATGGCCATCCAGCCTCTGTTTAAAAGCTTCCAAAGAAGGAGCCTCCACCACACTCCGGGGCAGAGAGTTCCACTGCTGAACGGCTCTCACAGTCAGGAAGTTCTTCCTCATGTTCAGATGGAATCTCCTTTCTTGTAGTTTGAAGCCATTGTTCCATTGTGTCCTAGTCTCCAGGGAAGCAGAAAACAAGCTTGCTCCTCCTCCCTGTGGCTTCCTCTCACATATTTATACATGGCTATCATATCTCCTCTCAGCCTTCTCTTCTTCAGACTAAACATGCCCAGCTCCTTAAGCCGCTCCTCATAGGGCTTGTTCTCCAGACCCCTTATCATTTTAGTTGCCCTCCTCTGGACACATTCCAGCTTGTCAATATCTCTCTTGAATTGTGGTGCCCAGAATTGGACACAATATTCCAGGTGTGGTCTAACCAAAGCAGAATAGAGGGGTAGCATTACTTCCCTAGATCTAGACACTATGCTCCTATTGATGCAGGCCAAAATCTCATTAGCTTTTTTTTGCCGCCACATCACATTGTTGGCTCATGTTTAACTTGTCCACGAGGACTCCAAGATCTTTTTCACACGTACTGCTCTCGAGCCAGGCATTGTCCCCCATTCTGTATCTTTGCATTTCGTTTTTCCTGCCAAAGTGGAGTATCTTGCATTTGTCACTGTTGAACTTCATTTTGCTAGTTTTGGCTAATCATCTCTCTAATCTGTCAAGATCGTTTTGAATGCTGCTCCTGTCCTCTGGAGTATTGGCTCTCCCTCCCAATTTGGTGTCATCTGCAATCTTGATGATCCTGCCTTCTAGCCCTTCATCTAAGTCATTAATAAAGATGTTGAACAGGACCGGGCCCAGGACGGAACCCTGCGGCACTCCGCTCGTCACTTCTTTCCAGGATGAAGAGGAACATTGGTGAGCACCCTCTGGGTTCGTCCATTTAACCAATTACAGATCCACCTCACCGTAGTTTTGCCTAGCCCACATTGGACTAGTTTCCTTGCCAGAAGGTCATGGGGGACCTTGTCGAAGGCCTTACTGAAATCCAGGTACGCTACATCCACGGCATTCCCCGCATCTACCCAGCTTGTAACTCTATCGAAGAAAGAGATCAGATTATTCTGGCATGACTTGTTTTTGATAAATCCATGTTGACTATTAGCAATGACCGCATTTGTTTCTAAGTGTTTTCAGACCACTTCCTAAATAATCTTTTCGTATTTGCCTCCAATGAAAGATCCCAAGTTCTTGTATCATGAGAGAGAAATAAATGTCTTCTACTTCACTGAGTCAACATAATGCAGGCTTTTATATAACTTTTTCAGATGACACGCAACTCTACTACTCCTTTCCACCTAACTCCAAGGAAGCCCTTCAAGTGCTGGACGAGTGCCTGGCTGCTTGTTTGGATGAGGAGGAACAAGCTGAAGATTAATTCCGACAAGACAGAGGTCCTCCCGGTCGATCGTAAACCAGATCGGGGTATAGGGTGGCAACCTGTGTTGGATGGGGTTGCACTCCCCCTGAAGTCACAGGTCCGCAGTTTGGGGGTCCTCCTGGATTCATCGCTTACGTTTGAGGCTCAGGCGTCGGCGGTGTCCAGGAGCACTAAAATAATGTTGGATGTTAAGGACTCCAAGAGTTGGGTTGTTGTAGGTTTTTTGGGCTATATGGCCATGTTCTAGAAGCATTCTCTCCTGACGTTTTGCCTGCATCTATGGCAAGCATCCTCAGAGGTTGTGAGGCTATCAACCATGATATCCTTCCGGGTAAGCTCTCTGGAATATGGACACTGCTCTGCAATCCTCCTTCCTGGAGGATTGCACCCGGATCGTGATGCTGGGGGACACCTGCTCGGACTCCCGGCCATGGACCTGTAGGGTCCTGCAAGGTTCTGTTCTCTCCCCCATGCTTATCAACATCTACATCAGCATTTCTCAACCTGGAGGTCGGGACCCCTGGAGGGGTAGTAAGGGGGTGTCAGAGGGGTCACCAAAGGCCACCAGAAAACACAGCATTTTCTGTTGGTCATAGAGGTTCTCTGTAGGAAGTTTGGCCCAATTTTATCATTGGTGGGGTTCAGAATGCTTTTTGATTGAACTATAAATCCCAGCAACTACAACTCCCAAACATCAAGGTCTATTTTCCCCAAACTCCACCAGTGTTCATATTTGGGCATACTGAGAATTCGCGTGAAGTTTGGTCCAGATTCATCATTGTTTGAGTCCACAGTGCTCTCTGGATGTAGGTGAACTACAACTCCAAACTCAAGGTCAGTGCCCACCAAACCCTTCCAGTATTTTCTGTTGGTCATGGGAGTTCTGTGTGCCAGGTTGGATTCAATTCCATCATTGGTGGAGTTCAGAATGCTCTTTGATTGTAGGTGAACTATAAATCCCAGCAACTACAACTCCCAAATGACAAAATCAATACTCTGCAACCCCACCAGTATTCAAATTTGGGTGTATCGCGTATTTGTGTCAAATTTGGTCCAATGAATGAAAATACATCCTGCATATCAGATATTTACATCATAATAGTAGCGAAGTTGCAGTTATGAAGTAGCAACAACAACAATTTTATGGTTGGGGGCAGGGGCGGCTCAACCCATTACGCAAATTAAGCATTTGCAGTATAGTTGATTTTGCCCAGGGGCGCTCTGGAGGTGCTCTTGGGGGAAAATAGACCTTGACATATGCGAGTTGTAGTTACAGGGATGTATAGTTCACTTACAATTAAAGAGCATTCTGAACTCCACCAATGATGGAATTGAACCAAATATGGCACACAGAACTCCCACGATGAACAGAAAATATATATCAGTGATTGGTGGCGGGGGGGGGGGGGGGGGGGGGGGGGGGGGGGGGGGGTACTGTTTGCTTACCATTGAAAATTTCCTAGAGCCGCCTCTGGTTGGAGGTCACCACAACATGGGGAACTGTATTAAAGGGTCGGTGACATAAAGAAGATTGAGAACCACTGCCCTATATGGTTCAGGTCCAACCTATCTTTGAGACTGCATCTCCTTCTATGAACTGGAGCAGGCTCTAAGATCTACCGGGGAGGCCCTCTTCTTGGTCCCACCTCCGTCTCAAGCGTGGTTGGTGGGGACGAGAGAGAGAGCTTTTTCAGTGGTGGCCCCCCCAGCTCTGGAATGCCCTTCCCAGAGAAACAAATTTACATAAATCATCATAAACCCCCTACTAATGTAAAAGAATCAATAAAACGCCATCAAGGCTATGGATATGAAGTAGGGTGTAATCAATATCAGTCATATTCATTGCTGGAATAAGATGAACCACTAGGTCCTCAAGTTTTAACATTTGGAGTTCTATTTGTGTTCAAATAGAACGCCGGCTCTGTTTAAAGAGGCATGTTTCCAGGTTGGTCTGCAAACATTGGTGGCTGGGGGCTAACCTAATTTATGTAACTCTACATAAATATCTCATATATATATAGGGGGTGGGTAGCACAGTGGGTTAAAGAACTGAGTTGCTGAACTTGTTGACTGAAAGGTTGGCGGTTTGAATCCAGGGAGTGGGGTGAACTCCCGCTGTTAGCCCCAGCTTCTGACAACCTAGCAGTTTGGAAACATGCAAATCTGAGTAGATCAATAGGTACCGCTTCTGCGGGAAGGTAAGGGCGCTCCATGCAGTCATGCCAGCCACATGACCTTGAGGTGCCTACGGACAACGCCGGCTCTTTGTCTTAGAAATGGAGATGAGCACGACCCCCCAGAGTCCGACACAACTAGACTTAATGTCAAGGGGAAACCTTTGCCTTTACTATATGTATTTTATTGCATTTTGTGTATTTGTTGCACTACTAGTGATTTTGTCAGCTGCCCGGAGTCCCTTGAGATGGTGGCAGGATATAAATACAGTTTTATTATTATTAATATGGAGTTTTTTGGGTTTTTTGGGTTTTTTGCTG